AACACGCGCGCGCATATATATTGGTCGATCGCGTATTATAATTATCCTGAGTCTCAACTACGTGCCACTGCGAGAGGCACTCGGAAAAACGCTCATCGCACCCCGAACCATCGATTGAAAAATAAATCGCATTTCCGATATGGTAGCTCTTCTAGAAGTTACCTTGGGTAAACAGTACAAGGAGTTGCCCGCGACGCCGATAAAATGTTTATATAAAAATTCTATGGAATACTGATAAGAAGGAACGAACATGTAGAAAAAAACCAGTTTTCCTATCAGAAGAATGCGCTTTTGTAGGCTTATATGAAATAAGCCTCTCTTTTTAAATAATTTCGTGAAACTTTGTTCAATCAGTGAGTCACAGATTAGTGAAACAGAATAATAAAGTAAATATAATAAAATGATAAAAAGAAAATTTTATCAATAAAATTTTATCAATAATGTATTCAACAGATACTAAAGAAATTTTGTATATATATTTTGTACATGTATTTAGGCAAAAGTCAATAATCTAATAAAAAAATATCTACATTTATAAAAAATTATTTATTCTTGATAATGAATACAAGATCGTAAAAGGGAAATTCCTATTAAAAGTAATGCATTGATACTAAAATCGAGTTGTTGACTTCTATATTAGTATATAGGAAAATGGCCCTAAATTAAATGGTAAGACAGTCGGGTGTCAATTGGCATAATAGCGAATCGAGTGTGTGATACAATCATGAAATAAATAATCGTAATGTTTTATTGCTACGGCTAAACGACTATCCATCATTCGGGATGTATCTATATAATAAAAATGTGTAATATTACAAGGGAAACGAGATAAATTAACCTCAGAAATTATTTACTGCAATTATTTACGCAATTATTTACGCTCGATTTAATTTTGACTAAGACACAATGCTATTTATTTTTTTGTTAATCGATGTGTACACGCAAAGATCGAGGTAACGCCTTGATAGCGATAACAACATCATCATAGACGCAGCATTGCCCAACTGCGAGGTTACGCCTGGCGTCATCAACGGCATATTGCCGCCGTTTAACCTTCGTGTCATCGAAGCATTGATACCATGACTATGGATAACTGGCAAAATTATTTGTTATTTTCTCTTCCGCTCTATCGATCTCTTTTGCACACAATTTATTGTTTTAAAAAAGAAAAATGTATTTCATTTCGATTTGCGACGTTCAGAAACGGAAATGCAAAAATGAGATTTCAGATTTCATCGAAAATCAGGTAGAAGGGAAAACTGCACTATAGAGAAGAAGGAATAGGTATTCTTCAACATACAAACCAATACCAATACCAATGAAAAATATAACTATAATAAAACAGTAATTCTTTTATAGTGAAATATGGGCACAGCAGTTTTCTTATGGTTCTTTAATTATAATGGTTACGACAAAAAAGATGTATAACGTTACATTGATTAGTGTCATATTTTCTTGAAACTCACTCTTATTACAATAGTAAAGAAGAATGCATCTCACAAAACTCAAATATCATAGAAATAGAAAAATTTTCATTCAAATAGAAAACTTTTCGAAAGTAAAGAATTCTTCTTTTCAACTTACTTTTTTGTATATTATTTTATAAGTAATAATAAAAAATACAGATAATAATAGGAAGTTTTCTTTACAAAATTTTTCTTATATTATTTAGCTATTCATCTTTATTAATTTCTATCAATAAACAAATAATCCCTTATATAAATTTATATATACTAGATTAATTTTTCAAGTTCAAATACAAAACACAATGAGAATCAAGATTCGATATAAAAATCTTTATAAAAGACTCTCAAAAACTCTATAAAAATAAGTGGCATAACTTAGATAAATTTATATTTTCAAATAATTTTCAAAAGACATTTGTCGACAGAAAATTAGCGAATTTTGTGTAACTTCATAATTAGATTGATTGTATCAGTTTTTAAAGTTATTTAAACGTTAAATGGAAAACAAGAATGCGGGAAGAGGGTAAGATATTTATACAGTGCAAATACGGAAAAATAAGATGCACACGCACATTATCTTATAGATAAGCAGAGGTTGAAAAAGGCAGGGATCGTTGCAGAAATAGTCATCCTGTTATCGACACCACCGTTTACTTATCGTTCCACGGTCAATATTTCGCTCCCTTCGGCTCTTTTTTTCTATACTTCGCCTCACCTCTCTTTCTCTATCCCGATTTCCAAAGTTGTTAGTGTGCGTTTGCGTGTCTATCAGTATATCATCTTGCCCGGTTTTATCGGCCGATAGTACCAATATCTCGGCCGTCATCAAACAACAGTTACAAGGAAGAATGGTAATATTTTTTGTAATCCAGAAATATCTTCAGGTAAGTGAATAAAATTTTTGTGTCGTTGCGCATTAATATTGATAGTATCGAAATAGCAAAAATAGATATACATTTTGCATTGCATTGGGGAAAGGAGAGCCATGCACAATTGATCAACACGAGTTTTTTTAAAAAAAAAATCATCTATAATCACATTTTTAAATTTATAAAAGTTATGTAAATGTGTATATGTGTATATGTGATGTAATAAAAAATTTATCGCTTTTGATCATCAATGTTGCGATTGTATTGAGAAATATTTATTTTTTTTAAGAGTGAAAGATAATTTATTTTTATTTAGCTTCAGAAACAAGAATGACTGTGCGACAAGAATTTTAGTAGAAATATTTCATTATTCTTCATTTTCTCATTTTTGATCAACATGATATGATATGATTAATACATAGTAATTGATTAAATACAAGTACTCACCATTTAATACTCCTTTTTATGATGTTGGTGACGAACTTCTGCGATTTTCTAGGAGATACTGCATGAGGAGATATTGAATCAGTAGGTTTCCTTCGTTTTCTTGTTTCATCCGTCGTATCTCTTTCGTACGTGCCAAGTTTACGTTCCTCAGTAGTGTTACCATCTTCATCAACATTTACCTTCACCGAATTCTTGACCCATTCTACTATATGGTCTGTACGATCAGCCGATAATGCAGACTCGTTAGCAAGTTGTTCCTCAATAAGCTGACCGATTACGATCGGAGGATCAACGAATCCAAAGCTTAATTTTTTTTCTATCCTTTCCGAAAACTCTTTCGAGACCTGTTTATCTTTTGCATACTTTGCGACTATAGTACTAATACATTCTTTCATACTGTCAGATGTACCACCTCCCGAAATATCATCTTTCTTCTTTACCGTTTGTTGCTTCTTTTTAATGCTATCTTCGTCACTATCTTCGTCACTATCGTCTTTCGCGGTCGCAGACTCATTAACAGCCTGAATCATTTCCTTCGCTAAATCTCCGTGTACTATTTTCAGAATATCATTTAGACTATCATTTTCATTCGTATCTTCTTCGCCAGTAGGCGATGCTGGTGATTCAATGAAATTATTCTCTTTGGTTCCAGATTCGATTGTCTCAGAAGATGCTGTCTTGTCGAGATTAATTTTCTCCGTAGAATCCCCATTGCAATCAGTTTTAGAAGCATCTTGTCCTTTCTTTTCAGAGTCAAGTAAATCTGTACCTTCGGCCTTTTCCTCTTCAGCGGAGGCATCTTCTTTCTTGTTCGGATTTTCTTTAGAAGTTAATTTGTCACTATCTGGTACTTCAGAATTCTCTTCTTTATTAGAGGGACCTGCTTCATCATTTATGGATATTACCGAAAGAGTTTCTGACGGAGTCTCATTCTCTACTGATTTAGTGTCTTCTGCATTATTTTCTGCCATCATTATCAGATATTATCAAAGATTAATTTTCCAGCATTTTAATGTTAATAATAAGTAACAAACTCCTAATGTTTTAAAGAAGACACATTGTTACCATTGGGATCTTTTGGGTCATATTGCACAAAATGAAAAATATCTTCCAATGTTCTTCACAACTTTCCTTTTCCAACAACCTCTTTGATTTGTTCCTATAAGAAAGTAAAACATCCTTAAAAATTATTATTCATAAAACATAAAAACATAAAAAATTAGATATTAATTAAAATAATTATATTTTTAATTATGTCTATTGATATATTATTAGTAGACATTAATACACACATAAATACGTATATGGTGGCAGACAAAAATAACGCAATAATATTGACATAAGATAAATATAACTATAATATCGTCCATAATTTAAAAAAAATAGTAAAATAATTTCTATTAAAAAAATTATTTACATTTTATATAAAAATTATGTCTGTATATAAATGTTTGTAATTACAAGAAAGAAATAAAAATGCCAACTAGAAACATCAATTGGAAATATCGGTACAAATTTTATATATATATATATATATATATATATATATTCACATTGATAATAAAAGCTATTGTTATATTTTTAATAAGAATAATCAATATATAGAAAATCCCGATGTTTATTTCTTTTCCATTATTTATCTTAGTTTTGTAACCTAATATAAAAAAAAAATAATGGAAAAGTAGAGGTAATGACAGGTAAACATTAAAAAAATAACATTAGAGAAAAAAAATATGTATATACTAAATAAATTTTATTAAAAAAATCAATTATTACAATTAAAAGAAAACGTTATATTGTAAAAAATACAATTAGAAGGATTCGAGATAAGAAAAACTTAGAAATAATAAATGAAGCAATTGCTCATGCAAACTAAGTCAAAGAAGAAAAAGGTTTTAAATAATAAGTTTTATATAGTAGAGTAAGAAAATTTTAAAACTAACGTGTCACAAAGTACTATACAGATAAATACAGCAAATAGTTAAAGTTAGTTTTAGAAACAACATTCAGATTTCTTCATAAAGCTGGATATATTAATAAGAATAATCTGAAGAAAATATTTCATGAGAATGTTTTCATTTTTATTTTGTGAGTATGGTAATTTAGTGTATAATTAAATGTAAAGAAATTACATTTTTTTACACAAATAAGTTTGCTAATTTGCTAGCGATTTGTTTGAGGATACAGATATTTTAACTAGATTACGTCGATATTTTTGGCTGCCACTTTTATATATATATATATATATATATATAATATAATATTAATTATGATACATTTCTATATTATAGATAAAAATTCAATAGTTATATATTCGTATCTGCAAAAAGAATTCCTATATTATCGAGCGAGCGTGTAGTGAGGTTAGGAAACATCACGCATTAGATTAGCATTACGATTTACTGCAATTTCATGTAAATTCTGACGTTATTTCTCATTTTCGCGTGATAGTAACCGCAAAACGAGTTTTCTAAGGGAAACTCAACTGCGCATGCAACAATTATTGCGCAATGTCGTTTCATGAGCTATCATAAGCAACTACATATGATATGTTAAAAAGCACTCGCAATATATATTTAATGGAAATTCACTCCGAGAATTCTCGCGTGAATTCCATCGAGTCTCAGCTATATATCTTTTTGCGTAAATGATGTCCCAAACAGATTGTCATCATTTCCGCGATGACAACGTCGAAGCCATTCCCTTTTCTATAATTTAGAGCACTCGAGAATGTGAGAAATTCTCCAAAGCCTATATTTTGAATCCTCTTTTATCCTTGAAGTGACTTATAAACCTATTGACTCATTGTGAGCCGCTTTTAAAGAGTTTGTCTCTTTTCTTGCCGGTAAATTGTAAATAAATATTGTACAAAGATCTCTGAAGAATAAATCACTTGTAATTCATTGGTGTAAAGGTTTTTATCGAAAAAAAAAAGAGGATAATAAAATATGGACTTTAAGATGTATAATCGTAAGGATAATCTCTTTTCGCCACTATTAATAACACTTTTCAGGAAGTTTTTCACTTTTCTTCTACCTGACAAAGGTTAGCCGACCAGATCTCCCGCAGTTTGTCGCATCGGGGGTCGATGAAACTGTCAACCGTTCTTTTCCAAATCGCAGTCCAATTTTCACTTGCGTTGCTGTTTAAGGATGAGACGAGTCGATTTAGGATTAACGTCACAGCATGCCACAGACGTTCATTACACGCTCGATCGCTGTACGAATATCATTTCACAGATAGAAGCAATATATCGTAGATAGATGCGTGAAGGAGCGAAAGAATGTGCGCGCGCGCGCGCGCGCGTAGGCTCTCTCTCTTTCTCTCGCTCGCGCCTAACCTCCGCGAGGTAACCGGCATCGATGAGATGGATACTTCGGAGGACGGGGGGAGGGAAGAAGTGCAACGAGATTCATTTTCTCGAGATAAGACCTACGTACATACCTCGATTAGGGAAGTTGATTCCCTCGAAGCTGGGTCAGTAACACGCGACGTGTCAGTCGTCAACGTTGGTCGAATCCCGTTCGTGGGAACAGACGATGACGACAGATTTGGATTCGCGTTGGAAATAGCAGCGGAATGAGCGAGCGAGCGAGCGAGCGCGCGATGAAACGAGCGAGTGAGCGAGCGACGAACGAACGAACGAACAAACGAACAAACGAACGAACGACCGAACGACCGACCGACCGATCACTCGCGGTGGGTCGGCGAAACGTAAGAGATAGAAAGGAGGAAGGGAGGGAGGGGGGGGGAGAAGAGAGAGAGAGAGAGAGAGAGGAAGGAAGGAAAGAGGAAAAGAGAAAAAAGAGCGAAGATTTTCTCGCAGAAAAAAACTCCCGGGGAATCGCGAAAACACGTAGAAACGAAAACTCGGTTAGGCTACTGACCTCACTGAACCCCGTCCATATCGAAACGCGCACACTGGTGTTCTCGAAACGTCATCCGAGGGAGACAACTTCAAGCGGTAGCTGTCTTTCTCTTTCCCCGCGCGTACAGTTCCTCGAGAAAGTTCGCGCCGCATGGAATAAACGAACGTTCTGTATCGCGAAAATTAATTGAACTTCGGTGGAGATTGTACAAATATATGAAGCTGTTCAGTGCGCATGCTACACTCTGATTCTCTCTCTCTCTCTCTCTCTCTCTCTCTCTTTCTCTCTGGTCGTTGATTTTTCTATTCAAGAATGATACGTGAGAGTATGTTTTAATGTGAATTCAACAACTTTTTATCAGCTGTCGCTAAACGCGGCAAGCAAAGTTCAATATTAATTGAAATTCACGTAAATTTTGTGATGATTAGGTTTAAAAGCGTTTTAAATGTCTTTAGAATATTAAACATAAATTAAATGTAAATTAAAATTAAATGTAAATTTTTATTTTACTAGAAATGAGCATTTCAGTCATCACTAGATACATTTCCTATTTGATTTTCAATTTTATTTCATCATGAAGTATGCATTTTTTGTGAAAAATTTTTCAAATTTAAATGCGAGCTTTCTCGAATTAAACTTTTTTTTGTTATATATCAATAAGCAATATGAGTGTAAAGTTTGAAGAAGTAGAAACTTACCGGTAAATAAGGCTTACAGGTAAATACTTCTTTGACATTTCGTGTCTTGTTAGATTCAGTACGTCGGCAAATTTTATCGAAATAAAGTTATCAACGGAATATCGTAGTTTTAATTCTTCCAATTTAATTCTTCGCTGTCGTGAATTTTGTCACTATATAGTGATTTGTGATTCTCGGCGCCGATTTATAATAAAATTCACGCGAATTTACGTTCTTATTTTCATGGATGTGCTTTAAATCGATCGATCGAATCGATGATTCACAAATATATTCGATGAAATCTAGAATCTCGACACAGCAGTAGTTTCACAACAATGAAGTTGTCAACAGAACGGTCACACAACGCGAATTGATTCTGTCGTCGTGAATCTTTGCTTTAACAATCTTTTCGAGGAAATAGATTTGTTTATACGTATACATCCGTAACACGGATTTATACGAATTTATATGAAATAATGCCCACGCTCGGTTCCACTTTTACGACTGCATTTGTAAACGCTCAATCGATTCACCGACAACATGGCGGCCACGACACCGGCGAGTTTTTCTTACGTTTTTGTTACGTTTCATAAATTGAGTCGTAATAAAAATCGAGTTGTACGGAATATAGTTTTAATCGAATCGCGTTGAGTTTGAGCATTTTTAAAGGAACAGAAAATTATATAAGAAATAAAAAAAATCGTAAAAACTTTATTAGATACGTATTAATAATAGATTGAGAGTATAAATAATTATCAAAAAGAAGCTATTGCGGATAATAAATGAAGGATTTTGAGTTCGATCAGTTCTAATATACTCAAAAAATGTTTTGTTCTAGTCTAGCTAGAATTCTAAATGTTATAGTTAAAATATATCGTTGTTTCCTTGTATCTAAAAATTGTTTGTCATAATTAAATTTATAGCAACAACATCTAATAATCTATACATATACATATGTATGCAAGAAAATTTAGATTTCATAATCAAATCACATAATCAGCTTTATAAAAGGTGTGATTGTCTATTAATCTAACTGAGCACCACAGAGAAACATGGATTTTTCTTGTTAGAAATTTAACAAATTATTTAATTATAATTTTGTCTCTGTCATTTATATCGATTAGATGCAAAATATATACAATATCGTAGTGCTTGCTAGTCATTTATTCATTTTAGCTAATTTTTCCTATCTAAATAAATAATAATAATAATTTTCGCTAACTGCAAAACCATCTTTTAATGTAATTTTTTCAGCTACAACTGTTTTTCGAGCAACAGTCATCAGACATTAATGTTTCTGATTAAATAAATTATAAGGATATCGGATAGAAAATTTAATGTGCAATTATCATCGCGATAATTGACAAAAAAGTGCAGAAAGCAACAACAGATCAAGGTAAGTAGCAACAGTAGTTATCCTAATTATCGTCTCCTTCTGCTACTTTAATGGTGAACTTATTAAAGACTGAGTTAGAACGCGCTCACAAAGATCGAGGAAATCGATTTCGAGAAATCTTGGGATGAGGAGGGGACAAAGTCGAGATCATTTTATAGGAGAGACATGACACTGCGATGTTCTCGTATATTTACAGATTAGTCGTAATTCATAGTCAATAGTAATTATATATATATATATATATATATATATATATATATACATATATATATATACATACACACATATATATATATATATATATATATATATATATATATA